TTCTCCCTTAACTCTTCTAGGTGTTGCAATTACACATTCTTTTTTACCTCTCCGATAGAGTAAGTGCTTTTACAAATACGTCTCCTCCTTTGGTTGTGCGTGATCAAAATGTCACTCGTATATAGTCTGTAAAGTCTTGGAGTTTATTTGTCTGAAAATTTGTCCTAGTCGAAGCATATACTGAGAACATTCCAAAACGTCAGACTGAGATTGCTATCCGTACCGCCTGCTTTATTTTAAGGTTTGTAAGCGCATATATCTTCCCCTTTTGGTTGAACTGTTTCTCTGTTACTTTCTCCGAATTTCCTATTTCTTAATTTTTTCGGTGCTCTGGATTAAGCAAGGAATCTATCATTGGCCTCAAATAGTAATCACTTTACCGCATGCTTTGCCTTTTAATCCAAAATTCTAAACAATCTATCTCACCACTTACACACTGTGCTAGCGAATACACTATCAATCTTTTACACGCGATAAAAATTTGATGTTTTTATTTTTACTGTACTTCCCCCCATCACAACTCTATCTTACTCTATGTCTCCATCGTTGGTCAAACCAAAAGTAATGGTGCATCAATCGCGAGACTGTTTACATAATTGAAGGATGAACAATGAACCATGATTTATGCCAGGTACAAAAGCAATTACTTGACAAGTCCCGCAGAATGGTGGGGTAAAACTACAATTATCGAAAGTTAGGTGTGTTATCAGTTTGAGCGTTTACCTAGCAGATACGCTGCTGAATACTAGTAACGTAATTGGGGCTTGAATGCGAGCGAGGAAACAACTTGTGGAGAGGTGCAGTTGTCCTCCGTGAGAACAGCAACAACGAGTATACTCACTTCTGTATCGCCTCCTCAGGTTAATGTAACAAGTTAATCCGGTTTGGAAGGATAATTAATATATTCCAAATTTGCACAGTTTAGGCACCGAAGTGATGGGGGCCAGTGGCAAGATCCAATAGTTCCCTATGGCCATGCGTTTTGGTTTCCCTAGCACTATAAAGAGCGCTTCAACCAAGGTTGTCAAGTTTGGATGGCGTATACAACGTGAGGGCGCACGTAAGAATTGTGCATCATGAGGATGATGGATGGGTCGAATCTTCCGAATACTCACCGCAGCAAGCCTATGTGCTTGTTGCCTCTCTTAGCAGCTGCCTCTGACTGTTTTGAAAAGTAAACATCATTTTGAATGAGCACACCGAGGTCGCCTTCTTGGAAAGTTGTTTGCAATACATGTGCCCAGGCCCTTACCCCTAGTCATGTCTATAGCGCAACTGAACAGTATGACGCCTTTCCACCTTGAACGGTAGTTTATTCAGAACTGACCAGTTTAAATTGGTGTTGAGGTCACGTTGGAGGTGTTCGTGGTCGTTTGGTTATTTGATCCCTCACCATAACTTGATATCATCCGCGAAGAACATGAAATCAGAATCAATTTCCCTCGCCAGAAAGTTTATGAAAATCAAGAATAGAGGCGGCTCGAGCACCGAGCTTTGTGGTACGCCATACTCCACCTCAATTGAGTCGGATAGAGTTTCGCATAGTCTCACTTCCAACCAACGTGCGTGCAGGAAATTGCCTATCCAACGTAATAGTAGTTCACCAGTGTCTTGGAGCTGAAGCTTATGGAGGAGAATTTGGTTGTTTAAGTGGCTAAACGCTTTTGCGAGGTTCAGGTGAAAGAAATCGACTCCTGCTCTAACATCATCTGCTTCCGTCCAGCTACAGCGTGCAATTATCAGGTTCGTATTTCATGAGCACTTTTGTCGGAAGCTATGTTGTCTTGGTGTTATCATCTCGTGATTTTCCAGAAAATGCATGCGTGCATCAGCGATGCTAGACTCCATAACCTTGGAAGGCACAGGGATTGGCCTTATAGAGCGGTAATCGGTGGGGGTCAGTGAGACTACTCTTGTGAATAGGAGTGATGACCCCTCGCTTCCATATTGTTAGAATATGATTCTCCGCCATACAGCGCTGATAGATTATAGCCAGTGGTTCCTCTAGATCACTGGCTGCGGCCTGTAAAGCCTTTTGCCGAGTGTTTTGACACCAGGAGAGTTATGGATACGCAGAGACAACAATTTCTTTGATACACTTTCTGCAGTAAAAATAATATTGAATAAGGCTGATGGTGGGAGAATAGAAACAGGGATAACCCTCGGACCCGGTACTCTCTGGAACGTTTTTGAGAAATAGAACCGTAAGGGATCGGCTGCGTCCGTTGCTGACCCGAGCACCCGTCAGTCGTGATCAGTGCTGGAATTTCGAGTTGTACCTTACGAAGATCATTAACATGCGAGTATAAGATTTTGCGGTTGGTGCAGAATCTCTTCATTAAGTCCTGCTGATGAGTCACCTTGTCTTTGCGGATCAAACTCACACAGAAGTTACGCTGTGTCACATAGGCAGTACAGGTTTCGGAATTCGAGGCGTCCTTGTGAGCTCTCCATGCTAAGTTTCTTAAGGACATGTATTGGCGTGTTCAGCTCCTCAGAAATGACTCCCTCCTCCTTTGACGATTGAAGAGATTTTGCTCAGATGCGTGTGTTACCGGTGTGGTAAATGCCCTTGTGATAGTGTCCCAGGCCATGTCTGGGGGGCATTCATTTAAGGAGTTCCAAGATAACCTCTTTAACATGCGTGGATAACACGTTGTATTGCGAGACCGTATACACTTTATTGTCCTCTTCCTCAAGACATTCCGCATAACATACACAGTTAAACATTAGTCACCTGATCACTGCGACTTAGTGATGTGCTTGAAATTATGCTGTTGAGCATGAATCCTTCGATCACATTTTGTTATCCTGGTAACATCGTAAAAGTTTTGTCACTGACTGTGTTGTGTTACAAACGCAGTGCTGGGGTAAGTTCTTATAAATACTCATACCCAGGTGTATGAAGCCCAACCTACTTTGCCTTGATTTAAAAGGAGATTGTGATTGAATCACTCCAGAGCACCGATAACACTGGGCAATATCATTGGTAGTGAGAATGAGTCTGCTAAGCAGCTGAAAGGAGATTAACTTTTGAGGGGTGTTCAAAAGATACAATTGAAATAACTGCAGTGGGTGCTCGTTGCCGCTACAGGGGGCATGTGGAGGCTTGTCAGAAGAAAAAACTGCCAGTTGCCACATTTCTCTATAAATGTTAGTTGGCGAGCTACAGCCGCTGCAGTGAGCACGTTCACAAGCTGTTCGTCGGATTAGTGCCGAAAAGACAGTGAGAGAGCATAAAGCTAAACGTCTGTGTGTGAACAATTGTGCAAAATGCAAAACTTTTACAGTGATATTTCCATTGCTAAGCCAAGCCTACGGAGAGGACTGTATAAGTCGCACTCAGTAGTTTAATTTTTTTGAACACGGCAACATGTCGGTCGATGACAGTCTCAAGTCTGGAGGACCTTCCACACCAACAGACGATGACCATATTGAGAAGGTTCTTGCTGTGATCCGTGCAAATTGTCGCATAACTGTTCGATAAGTTGCTGACTTGGTGAGCACCGGCGTGGGATCATGGCATCAAATACTGGTGCATTTTAGGTATGCTGTGCGCAGAAAGAGGCCTGAGCTGTAGGGAAAACCGACTTGGATGTTGCATCATGACAAGGTGTTGGCTTACTCATCGCTCTTGTCAGCAGCATTCTAGCAAGACATCAAATTTCCGTTGTGCCCCATCCACCGTATTCTCCGGACCTAGCACCTGCAGATATTTTCCTGTGCCCCAAACCTAAAACTCCGTTGAAAGTATGTCGTTTCTAAACCACAAAATGGATTGGGTACAGTGCGATAAAGGATCTGCGCATCATCCAAGAAAGTGGGTTTTAGAAGGCTTTCCAAAGTTGGAATGATCCTTGGGAACGATTTATCGCCATTAGAGGGGACTATCTTGAGGGAGAATGTGTTGAAACTTTTGTTCAATGAGCAACAAATACGGTATAGCAAAGGTCGGTTTCTTTTTGAACAACTCTGGTATGAGCCATTAATTGTAGTGAGACAATCATCATAACGCAAGTGATCACAGAACAGAGTTGATATCGGGCCAGGCAATATAGATTGAGAGCCAGAGCTCTCAAATTTTGTTTTTAACAAAGAGAAGGGTTTAGCAATAGCTATTGAGAAGCACAGCCAAGGAATCATTAAAATTGACTAACATCTCACAGGATGGGACTTTTGGACCTTTCTACTTGACCGTTGATAAAGCGCACTTTTAATCACGTTCCGATTATTTACGCTCCTTATTTAATTTTCTTGCGAACACAGACCAACCAGCATAATTCGTTATTACATTTTATTTGGAGATCATTTCTGGACTAGTTTGAGCTTCAGTATCATCCTCCTTTTCACGTAACCTCAGAAACATAATAAAATGTTCCAACTGTATATGATCCGAGTGGATTACCCTTAATCGCCGCAGGCCAACTGATATTGCAATGACTGGATGGGAATGTTCGGTATACACTTATTGCTAACACACAACAAAATATAGGCAGTTTAGTCTGTTCCAGCACTCCAAACATTATCGCTTCCAAAAGAAAACACAAAGGCATAAAGCGTTTTGCTATCAAGCATCCTATTAACTATAATACATGCGACTACTCTTCAATCATCAAACGGAAAGTGATTAGTTCGTAGTCGCGTTGAATTCTCACCTCCAAGTTAAGAATATTTTACTCTAGGCTGTAGCACATAAACCATGGATGGAAGTGAATGCTGAAGGGTATTCGCTAGTACATAAATGTTTCGCACACTGGACATAGTGGGTATGCACAAAATCAGGTCTCACTGAAAAATGGCTTGTGAATTAGTGCCTTTTATGAGAAGGAATAAACCATTGACACGCTTGGTGTGAGACTGTTCGACAAAACAGTATAAAATGAATTAACTAAGCATCACAAAATTTTTATTAAGACTAAACAGTGTTGCACGATGTAGGTGCTTAAACAGTTCCATCCATTTCATAAGAGTGTGAATAACTTTGGCCAAGTCACGAATGTTCAAGGTGGAGTTCCTGGAACAACCAGGGAACAATTTGTTGGCACCGGAATCCGGCTGGAGACGCGAATAAATGTGTCGTTGGGGAAAACACAATAAAACCCGAAGTAGTCTGACCAAGGGAGATATTGTCTGAGGCAGGCACTTGTCACCAACAAGACAATTAGGATGAATCCAAATAGTATCCGGAACGGGATTGGTGATTTTTTGGTGATCTTCGATAGTGCTTCCTTTTCGGTCTGCTGGCTTGAGAGAGTGGTGGTTGAGTCCAAGTCTGCGTGTACATGTGCGAAATGGCGTGCATCGAGATGAACAATCGGTCAAATATCCCAAATAGCTCGTCGTTGGAAACAAACATTTATATTTACATAAGCACAACCGACGTATAACTTCTAGGGAAGATGTAAATGGTCCCGGTGGATGATGCATGAGAGATCCTGCATCAAGCAACCAGTGGCATAATGCCATACTGAGGGTATCGTCAGTAGGGCTCATAAATTCCGAGACGCATGACACTCATATTGTGAGATCGCAATAGCTGATGTCTGTGTCAAGCTAGGAGTGTTCGGCAGCTCTTTAGATATAAAATGTTGGTAGTTGAGCGATATGCATTCATGTGCTTGGTGTGCGTTCAGGGTTCAATCCTTGGTCATATGGTTTCCCTCTTGTGTTTGCCTGCTTGTATACCGATAGCGAATAGCTGATCAAGTTGTATTATGCTAAGTATATTAATACGCAACACTAATTAAAAGGTCAGACAGAGAAACATGGACATGAAATTGCCCCACTGGTAACAAGCCCAGTGAGTTCGAAGTGATCCATACGATAAGCGACCTGTGGTGTACTGGCTGTGTCTGTATATTTTATATGAGTGTCAATTTCGGAGTGGAATTTGTAGATCCAGCCCATTGCTCAGTAACCTGGATCTTATACTTAAAATCGGAACTCGTCAACCATGCTAAGTTCAGCAACTGAATATTAGTACAGTCAGTAGAAAATCCGTTGGCAGTCTAAAGTTAAGCAACGGGTAACTGCCTTTTTGCTGGATGGCGACACGCAATCTCTAATTAATCCTCAGTATCGTTTAAATTAGAACTCGTTCATTCCGGTTCCTAAAACCCTGTCCTCAATGGAGGGGTATCAGTGATGCTCATGCGAACACTGACACCACAGCTCAGGCTCTTTACCTGATGAGTCCAAACAAAGACAAAACCGGTTGTGTTGGAAGCAACCACACCGAAAATTCTCCACGTTAGCAGCTTGTTTTCAAGCCCTTGTAGTATGAACACATTTTGATTCACAATCACAGACTGTGATTTAGATTGGAGTGGATCTCGGTTAATTGGCTTACTGAGGTGGCATTTGACAAAAATACACTTCTAGGGTTTCTCTTTCAAAGTATTACTTCCAGCGACTGGTCTCCACCTTTTATAATAATCAGGTTGCCAAAGAGGCACTGCGTAGAAATAATGCAGCCCCAAGGGTCAGAAGCCGAAGATAAAAGGGACATTTTGACGACTCAAGACGTTCTTTCGACATAAAAGATATACTGACCCTTCAAAGTGCGTACACCGACGCAGCATTACATAGTAGGACAGACTCCAATGCTGAATGTTTACGGAAGTTAAACCACAACATTGACTTCGGGATAGCTTATTCGCAGTGTCTTAAACCAACCTTACTGACCTAGATAATATTGCGTTGCATCACTAAATGTTTAAAATAAGTTTAAAGATGAAACAGCTTACCCTCATTATAGCGACCCATCAAGGAGTTAGCTGAACTGCAAACATCTAGTGTATTTTCATCCGGAACTACTATGCGAACGTCGCTCGTTCTCTCGCGTGCCTATTCGAAAAAACAAGTATGGAAATTCAACGTCAACTTAAAAGCCTAATGTTTTCTCAAATAGTAATTATCAATGAAAATGCAGCACTGCCTTATACTATCCGTCATGAAACGCGAAACCGTGTTGTATTGTAAAATTATATCTGGGTAGGAATCAATCAAAATCCTGCAAAAATTAATTTTGTAATATCCGGAGTAGAACCTACCATCTCCACTTGTTTCTTCCAATCGATGCATTTACAGACGCCACAATAAACTAGCGCTTGGGATACGGTCCCCACGGTGAATCCGATCCAAAGACCTGCGAAAGAAACGGAGGCCGAATAAGTCAGTTCGGCCATAATAAGGATGAAGTTAAAAAATAGGAATAAATAGATTGAACCGAAGTTAAGTGTTTAAACAAGTAAATTAGTCATTAATAATACCAGCTCTGCATGCCATTTATGCAGGTTTTCCGTTCGAAATGTTTTTTTCACGCTTATCGGTATTGCGTTACAAGGACACACGGTCAATTAGCAACAAGCTTATTGGTGGCATTCGCACAGATTGTTGACGTTTGTATGAGTACCGGAAAAGGGGTTGAGCATGACCAAAAAGGACTCAACTTACCATGCAGTCCGTACCCAGCTAGAAAGACAAGCAGCAGTGCGATTGATGCTCCAAAGAGATACTGGCTGCAAAAGCACGTGATCGCACCGATGAACTGTAGACCTGCTCCACGAATCGCTCCCTGGCATACACCCTAAGTAAATCAAAAGTAAGCAAGCATGGTAGTAAATTCAGTTTCAGGTACCTAGCTGTTTTGCACCCATGTGCAAAGTGAACAAAAAGCCAAACGTCACGTTTTCCAGCAGCACTGTGTGGTATTTTGTTATAGTAGAGAATTTTGTACTGTTCATAGTAAGCACTGAGCTAATTAACAGTGTTCAAGTAATGTACCGTATAGATTGAGTCTCATCTTTTAATGTCAATTTGGTTGTCCAAAGTTCGTCACCACAGCTAGTACTTATTACAGCGTGTCACATGTGTGTGATGAGCGTGTACTGAGAGAGGCCTATGGCGACCTGGATATTTTCCAATTTGTCTGGGTCTGATGGGTATAATGTTAAAAAAGTAAAATTGCACCTTGCATCTAAGCAAAATAGAAAGGTTTTCTGTTGTAACTATGACCACCTGAGTCTCAGCCAACCAGACGGCTTCTGGTTTTGCACATCGCAGCGTGCTCAGGACGTCTGCCTTGACGAACAACTCCCTCCTCCTAGTTTTCTTTTTGTGGGGCAGTTAATATCTACCAAAACAGCGCGTTTAGACAGTAAACATTTAGCTCACCGATTTACGTGTCTGCTTGCGGCTTTTCTCAACGGGGGGTCGAACTTCAGTTTCTAGCGACTGATCAGTTTCATATATAATTACTTGAAATTTTGCTACTGACTCAGGTTGTGTTATGTACAGTAAAAGTCATTCAGTTTATCCGCAGCGCAAGCCGAGAAGATGGACCCGAAGTATGGAATAGCAGACGTCGAAGAATGGACTTGCATCGCAGAATGAACCGAGCAGGTTCATTTGCCAATGAAACTCATAGGCAAACAAAGCCCTAATACGTGATGTGGTGGCGCTCTACGTTGCAAATGTCGAAAGAAGCATGTGTTATTGCAAAGGCTAAGCTTTTTATTGGAACTAGACGACAAGACTTAGCAAACTTAACACTAATTGCCCATAACATTAAGTATATTCTGGACATAAAAATCATAGAAAATCGATTTTATCATTTTTCACGGTACGGACGCTCCATGACACGATGTCAACAAACTTACTACTACGTAGCTTGGCCCAACCATGAAATTGTCAAGATACATGTACCGCGTTTGGTTGAAAGATATAACTAATCCTAATGTGCATGTCAAATAAATTAAGGTAGATGCCTTCAGGTATCCAAAGAGCAAACTGTTTAAGTATCAGGTTGTTAAAGATAGTTTCCATTACCAATATTATATCCAAAAATATTTTAGGGTTATCTACATAAGAGCCAATGAAGATCTATGCGGATCCGAACTTAGTGACACCACCACCGCTAAGGAGAAAAAGCAACGCACCGATGTTCCGTCAAACAGCTGGAAGGCGGCGATTATGGGTAACAAATGGGCGGTCAATTCGATAACGTCACTGCAACGAAATAAACAATAGATTATATACAATGTGTTATAACAACTTAGTGTGGTAAACCGTTAGCCAACAGTATGATATCAAGACTCTGAGTAATACGGTTGCAGTCTGACCTGTCTGAGGTGAACGCCTTCGGTATTTGCCATCTCAGTAAGAACACACCCGTCGCGAAAGTTGAGGTTAGGAGCACTAAGGAAGGCAACTGGTCACTGGAACAAAGTGGTTGACTTACAAACCGTTACCAATGCGACAGATAGGACCGATTTTGGACCTACGGCAGATCCAGCACCGAGAAACTGACCGACACGAACATTTGTGGCCATTCCAAAGCCCAATGGTACCTATTTAAAGAAGGAGACGTACGTAAAGCATAAAAGTTAAGGGGTTAAAATTAGCGTACTTGGTTCTAAGTTAAACTAATTGTAATTTTCATATGACCACTTGAAGTAATTGAAAGGTAATTTACGTTACACAACTTATTCGATTGTTTATCACTAACAATTTCTGGCGGTTTTTATTCAGGCAGTGGTAAGCTTACTACTTGAGAAGTGGTGTGTCAACCACCATGCTGTAGCCAAATTTATATGAGGTTTCCTGTTATTGACATATATAACAGTCGGGAAACGCACACTTATATTCTAGGTACAAGCAAAGTTGCAGTGTTATTCTTACGTTTCGCTTCAGTTTTCATTAGCTTATGAGAATCCCAGATGTACTTGTAAACGTATTTGCCTGATGTGAGTTACCGAAAAGAGATCTCTTTACAAAATTGTTTTCTTACATTAATTATGCCATGTTTGGGACTGAGATAGGTGAAAATATTTGTATCTGTTCTGTGTGTAATCCATACGCCCTCATTCCAATGCTTATACGGGCACGTTTTGCATCTGGTGATATCTACTAGCTAACTGGCCACTTTAAATTCATTCTCAAATATTAACAAAAGCACATGAAACCTTTCAGCCGATGCTTCGCTACCCCCCAAACACAACGACCTACGGAACTAGAAATACCAAGAGCGAGAACCGGAGAGTTACCGGGAAACCTTAATGTCCTAAGCGAATATTCGGGAGACAACAACATGCCGTCATAAATGTCTGGCTATCGGGCAAGGAGAAGGCGGCAGTCGAGAAAGAATCCTTGCGGCCTTCACTGCCCTGCCTCATAAGCATCCAATAACTCGCAGACAAACTAGCACCCAATACACGTTACACAGGCCGTCCGATTAGGGAATGGCCGCAGACGCGCCACTGGAGTCAACTGAAAGCCATGTCCCGCGATGTCTCGAGCCAAGCACAAGGCGTGTCACGTGGACTCCATTCGGGAAGGCGAGATAGACCTACGGCCCACCGACTTCATTTCCAGATGTCAAGTTAACTTATTTGCACCACTGGCTTTACGCCACCCGACATCGGGTGAGCGAAACAACGCCCTCCTCGGTAAGTGGTGACCCGGCGTGCATTATAGGTGCCCAAACTAATGCAACTTATTCAGTGTTATATGTGGTTCGGAGTAACTTACTTAATAACTACTGCCTAACATTTCGCCTACACAAATCCTCGTTGCGTACACTTTGCTACCAACCGACAGCAGCGATACGGCGGTGATAAGACTTGAGGACTTGAGGTCCAATGAGGGGACCATTCTAGAAAGACTATTCAAGGTTGATTGAACCACTTCAACATCGTTAAACAGCAAGACGGTATCTTCCGCTTAAACAAGATCAAGTTGCATTCACCAAGCAGCACCTCAACCTCTGCATCGCGAGACTCCGCAAGAGGACTCTTCATAATGCAGTCCACGACGAATCTGAACAATATGGGGAAATTGGACAACCCTTACGACCTCCGCTTGTTGTCGTGAACATGTTCGCAGCCTAGCTTGTTCGAATACAGGACACGTAAATTGTTCACCAACCTCATGAAAACACGTTTCCGCACAAATTTTTCGAACGGAGTGCATCAATCAATCGAGTCGATGGCACACTTGAAGTCAAGAAAAACGGCATGATGCTGCACCAGCAGTTGCTGTAAAGTGAATATATGGTCTATACAGCCACGTCTTGCGCGGAAAACCACTTACTTTTCTCTAATCCGAGTTTCCAATTTCGAAGTGAGGCGACGAGCGAGAATCGAGCCCGGTAATTTTGATTCAATTTTGATTCCTTTTAATGAAAGGGGAAACTTTGCTTTGCTGAAGGCCATCATTGCTCGTGATTTATTGAAACTCCGGTAATGTTGTCAAAACGCGTTAGGACAATGACCTTGTTGCTGCACATTTGGTGTGTCTACACCTCTTGAACATTCCCACAATAATCGTTTCACTCCAGTTAGCCGGGACGGTCTGGTCCTATCAGACCTGTTGGAACAGGGACGCCAGCGCTGTGCACGGACTTCACCATCATAGTTAACTAGTGCGGGTGCGAGGGAATCCGGGCCAACAGCACGAACACGACTGAGGGCTGCGATCGCTTTTTGGACCTCATTCTCTGCCGGAGCATTTACACTAACTCACCATGGCTCAATCTTCATCAAATGGGCAGAAGGGGTCCAGGAGCAGTGGGCCAACTGTACTGTTCTCGAGCCATAGGACCATCCTAATTATGAAGCAAGACACCCACGCTGTCTCTGATTGTCTCCTTGACGCCCGTTTTTCTTGGCACCAGTGGTCCGGATCAGGTGGAAGACCCTCTGATATGTGCTTAATGCTCCTTCCTGTTCCGTTTCTTTAATCCGACTTGTCCATCATGCTTCATTGAGAGCTCGCAGGCACCACCTTACTTCGCGGTTAATACTCCGTCTGGTTACATTGTGTTCAGCGCCAGCCGGGAGTTTTCCTCTGAATGCAACTAGGATTACGACTTCTCGGATATCTAGTGAATGGTTCGGTGTCGACTGCTAGTACCACAAGGGGGCTCCGGTTTTTATGTGGTGGCCGAGATGCTAACCACCGAAGCTTCGTGTCATTAGGACAACAGAACAAAAGTTCTATGTGGTGAGCACCCTGATAGGCTTGTCTGACCTAGGGCTGAGATAATATCTCAGTTGCCAAAAGAGGAAGACGCTCGAAGCGCTTTCTGGAGGATTGCATGGGTAACCGAAAGCATACCCAGGTAGGATCAGGGTCAACACAAGCACTCCAGTAAGAGAGTGCATCCAGGATGGAACCACGGTACTTGTAACTTATGGCAATGTCAGCTAGTTGGGTTCATCGCTGGCCAGTCATTGTTGTACCTCAAGTGGCATTTCGGCGCACACTGTGTCTAACAGTGGTGCTACTAGAAAACAACCGGGGCTCTGCACACCGCAGTAACAGACACTCGATGTTGTCCGTCCGTACGGAGCTTAACAAATACTCACCCCCGGCTGAGTTACTGCAAAGCCCAGACGACCTATTCGGGTGTTCAAATCTCCTGCAACCAGAACGATATCTGAATTGGTAGCACTGGGTAGCAGCGTGTTCAATTCAAGGTAGAAAGCGTCCTTGGCAGCGTCAGAACTGCAGTCGGTGGAGACATAACGGAAACCAGCAACAAACAGACTCTTTTACTAATCCTTGAATCTACCTTATTTGATATCGTCAGAAGGGCTGCACACAATCGGCTGCATAGACATGGCTGAACTCCGACGTCATACCCCAAGAAGTAGTGTTGTCAGGATACTCTTGTTTCCGATGTAACCGAAAATCAAAGGCTCACGGTGGTGTTCTGTTGTACATAAAATTGTCACTATCTGGCAAACTTATAAGTACCTATCGGAGCGAGGATACTTTGTGCGAGCAATTGTGGTGCACAATCCGCCTCAGGCGTGCAGAACTAATAGTGGGGGTTATCTACCGGAGCCCATTAAACCGCTGCTGCGATTGGATACCACATGTACAGAAGCACATGAGCCACCCTCAATTCTAACTGATGGGGATCTAAATTTACCTAAGATAATTTGGCCAGATGTCCGACTTCTTCCCGGCCATGGCAACATTGAGGCTCATTTCGCTAAAATGACCATTGAAATCGGGGCAACGCAACATGTCATCCAACCGACGCGCGTAACTCCGTACTCGGCATCTTGTCTGGACCTAATGTTTACGAGCTGCGAGCAGAAGCTAAAAGAGATCAGAGTCATCGAACCTCTGTCGAACAGTGACCACTGCTCTATTGTAGCAAGCTTAGAACTGTCGTTACCATATTACAATCAACAGAAGCCGACATTCAACTATTGGAAGACGGACTTCAACGGACTCGTCCAAGCCGCAAGTCAAACTGATTGGACACTACCACATGATGCGCCACTTGAGGCCTGGTGGTCATTAATAAAGGGGAAGCTTAACTCGCTCTGTACTCGGTTCGTTCCCCTTAAGTATCCAAAAATCGGACCTGTCAGACCGCCTTGGTTTGATAGGGAATACAGACAGTTAGCGGGACGACGTCGTAAACTTTGGGATAGATACATCAGCTCGGGTTGTGGTGAAGATTACACGGTGTACAAAAAATGGCATAGCTTATGCAACGCCGAAAAGATCAAGAAACGCCGGCAGTTCGAAGAGGAGCTAGCATCCTCGACCACAACTGCACCCAAGCGAATATTTGCCAACTTGAAATGTCAACTGAAACCTGGGGACGACCTACCGGTCTTAGAGAGCTTAGACGGGAAGACACTCATTTCAAGCGCGGAGCGCGCGGAAGCCCTGGATCCGCACTTCCTCACTGTATTTTCCAGTAAACCGGCGGCTGTTCCAGTGCCGGCACAGGTTACTCAAGTCTTGCTCGACAGCCTACAATGTGATGCAGTCGAAGTGTACCAGCTACTCGTCAACCTCGATGGTGCAAAGCCCCCCGGACCAGAGGGGCTTCACCCACTAATACTCAAGTCCCTATCGATTATCATCTCACCAGCTGTGACAAACCTTTTCAATAGATCGCTCTCTGAAGGATCCGTCCCGAACGACTGGAAATGCTCGATAGTTAAACCGCTTCCCAAGGGTGGTGATCCGAGTAAAATAGCGAACTATAGACCAATCTGTTTGACTTCGGTATTATCCAAGGTTCTCGAGAAGGTTGTGAAAAAGTGTCTGCTGTCGTTCTTCGAATCGATGGACGTATTGACGCCAGCGCGACACGGCTTTACGAAAGGGCGATCCTGCATCACCAACTTGATGTACGCAAACTACCAGTGGATTCGAGCTCTCAATGAACAGAAGGATGTTGACGTGGTCTACATCGACTTTAGTAAGGCGTTTGACAGAGTGAACCACGAGGTACTCCTTCGTAAACTAAGGATATACGGAATCGATAGCACGTTACTTCAGTGGATACAAGAGTTTATTGTGGGACGAAGGTTTAGAGTACAGGTCAATGACTACCTGACAGACTGGTTCCCATCGACTAGCGGCGTGCCTCAAGGAACTGAACTTGGGCCAATATTATTTCTCATTCATATCAACGACCTTACGCAGCAGCTCCAGTCACCATGTGCCCTGTTTGCAGATGATTTGAAAATCTGGAGGATCATTGAAAACCAGGACGACTGCGCTCGCCTCCAGCATGACTTAGAGCGACCGTCAACGTGGTCCACTGAAATGCAACTCCCTCTTAACGCAAGCAATTCGGAGTTCATCAGTATCACCAGACGTCCAGCCACTCGATCATACACATTGGACGGCCAGTTGCTCCATCCCAACACATCTGTCAGAGACTTAGGAGTTCTCTCACGACATGATTTAAGATCACTATAAAATACAGAGAAATTGTACCGTGCGGGACTTCGTATGCTCTGGGCATTAAGACGCAGTTTCTCCACATGGCCCGAAGAAACCGTCCCTCGTCTATTCACCTCGCTCATTAGACCAATCCTTGAATACGGTGCCCCAGCTTACCATCCGATAACCCAATGGGAAACTGAAAAGCTGGAGAAAATACAGCATATCGCAACTAGAATGATACCAAGTCTACGAAAGCTTCGGCATGAAATACGTTGTGAAAGGCTCGGACTCTAAACACTATCCTATCGCCGAGTAAGAATTGATCTTATTTTGACCCATCGAGTACTACACTTGAGCCACTTCCCCATACTGCGGCCAATATTTCACCTGCGAGAACCCTGTAACACCCGAGGACATCGTTACAAACTCAGGGTCCCCAGCATGAACAAAGTATCACATCAGCTTTGTATCGAACGAAGAATCGTAAACTTATGGAATACACTACCTGAAGGATTAATAGAGGCCGATTCTGTGAAGTGTTTTAAAACCCGTATCGACGATTATTTTGGAAATCTGTGCTTTGGTGAAACGATACACATACAGTGCCAAAAGAAGACATTGTATGTCCGGAAATAATGACGCTAGTGCAAATTTCTAATCGAACACGGATAAACGAGGAACGGACCAGACACAACTGCTGATAATTCACAAGTAAATTTTGATTTTTCGTAATTCGATAGAGTTGTACAGAAATCTTTCTAATTGCTCCTAAATACAGTCTCAGTCTCAGTCTCAATCAACGTTGACTCCTCCTCGGAGCTGAGAATGATGCCTAATCTCTCTTGACCAGTGAATGTCGCCTAAGCGACCCCTACGCGTGTAAGTATATGGCGAGAGCACAAGCCGGGTGCAGTTAATTCAGCAATACTCTGAGGGCCATTTACCATAGTTTCGGATACACAACGCATGTCAAAGCTCAATGTGCACAATGTACGTGCGACTGCGGATTGTTAACCCATTTAGCTTGGAGTGCGAACGTTGAACGTCACCAGGGATACAGGACGGCGGGGCCTTAAAAGGCATTCGTGCCGATGAGCGTGCAGTGAATGGTACGGAAAGTTAGCTGCAGATGGTAGAACTGCAATGGCATTTTGGCTGCTTTAAATCAAGCCGGGAATTATGGAAGTAAGTGAACCAGGTGGAAAGGATTAGTGCGGGGTGGCAGCAATAGCATGTGTTTGTTTGTCCGCCTTGCTGTATGCAGCAGATAAGGATACCGTTGCTAACCTGCGCGACGATTAATGCAGCATGTGGGTGAAGTTAGGGTAGTAAGTGGTTGTAAGTAGGCTGAGATAGTGCCAGGGCGCCCAGACATAGATAGCAGATTCATCAGGGTCCTCAACCAAAGCCTCTGGCTCAAAATTTTTTCAACAAAACAGCGGGGAGTTGGCAAAACTTTGGTTTTACAGCAATGGACGCCATCCAATTTCAAATACCCGAACTGGAGAACCAGGAGCCACACTTTTTCTGAAATTGAACTACTGACCTACCTGGTAGGAGTAGTTCTCCAAAGGCCCAGTATAGTTCATTAAGACCAACAGTTACGCAAAAAGTCGCACCACGTAAGGGTCCATTCTCTTTGGGACAACTTGTTTAAACTACTTAAGTAAAGTGATTTACTGTTATCAAGATGGCTGTAGGAAATTTTCTCTAAATATTGCAATTGTTCCATGGATTATCACGACTTAAGAGTCCGCATCGGTGGATAAACATACTCAGTTTACCACAATTTGTCTATTAGTAGCATAAGTAATTACCACACAACAGCCAAGAGAAGCTTAAAAACGAAAAGCTACATTCTCTAGGTATGCCAATTTCATAGATAATAGAACACAAGTAACCGTCTGTATAGAGGGAGATTTTCATATTACATTCAGCCATCAATCTAATCTACACGATTGTAGTAGAAGCAAGAGACCGCATTAGGACACTGAGGTTGTTGTTGTTGATGTGTTTGTATTTTATGCCCTAGGAAAACAACAATCAAAATTAAGCAAGGTATGTTTTGTGAATCCAAGCTTACTTACTACCCAGCTTATATAAAGTTGAGCGATTAGTATGTACGCACGATTCTCTGGGTGGTGAGTTAATACTTACCAGAATATAAAGCATTGTTTCAGTATTGAAAAGAATTGTCTGTGCGGATAACTGCTTTTGACTGAGAGTTCCTGGAGAAAGTGAAGCGAAAGAAGTACTTTGTACTTTAACATAAGGCAGAGTAACGTGCAATTCAGGTTAGGTAATCAAATTCTGTGACTAACCCATGAAATTAGTAGAGTACTGCATTATTTTACTACTATAGTGTTACTCTACCCTTTAAGTTGATATCGTGAGGCTTGTTTGTAGTGCACACAACGAACAGACACATTTGCAGTGACTAGTGTGTACAATCTTGGAGGCAACCGCATAATATACATATACAAATTAACCAGGTCTATTGAAATTTACCAGCCCGCAGCCAGCTGTACTGCAATCATCGAATTCAGATATATTATCTCTCGACGTTCGGTTACAGAAGCCTGCATGTAACGTAGCCAAACAGGCATGGTAGGAAAAAACACAGCACCGTTTCATCCTCTTTGGACTTACCATTAGTACATATACGCCAGCCCTATCCGAAGCAGCGAGCAAAAACTATGGGTACTAGCGCTTGCACCTATAACCAGTTGCTTTGGCTGCGCTGAGCATGTGAGTTCTACTAGGAGCAGCGGAATCCCAATTTTATTCTAATCATAGGTTTATTCCTTGATTCCACCGCACTTGTTGAGGAATTCCAAAACAATGAACGCAAAATGGACCTGTTGTCGTTAACAGGCTATGAGTCCAGATCGTCATATTTCAACTTAAAAATCATATCGGTCACTGAATTGTCAGTCATTTGCTGTCCTTTTGGATCCTTTCGATGGGGCAACTTTTTCATGTGACAGATCTGCACTTTGCAACTGATACGATTTATATTAACACCTAGCACAGCTTAAATGCTGAGTAAATGTGTGGCTCAGTAGCTAAAAGAACTAGCAGATGGGTAAGCCGATGAAGCATTGCGAACAATAATTTTTGTGACTCCAACCTTCCCAACGTCTGCCAATCGTTTGATGCGCAATCCTTTGTTACGCCAGATAGACCTTAAAGCATCATCGCATTATCGCGCATCGCTCAAAGACGCTTAAGAACTGCTAACATTTGCAAACTCACCAAATTAGATGTTAACAACCACAGCACAACAAAGTTATTTCAAACATCAAACCCTCCTACAATGGTATACCCGATAATTCATCGTCTTCTCCGATAAAACCATGTAGGTGCTGATAGCTTTGTAGTGCTTCGGAACCTCTACGCATCAATTATGAAAGATGCGTAGCACCACCTCAGAGGAAGGACGTCATGGTCTAAATTGATTGAGAGACACTACAAGTTTGAAATTGTAGACCGCAAATACACTTAATGTTAAATACGGTTTAAAACGTGCCTTTTTAAATTTTATTCTTGCATAACATACTAGGTGAAGTTTCCTAATCATCTAAATAGTTTAGCGCACTGAGGGCTGTTAGCGATTTTGTTCTACCCGGAAACGCAGACATTCGATTGAGTATCACACGATCAACTTATCTCCAACGTAATAACGCTTGGAGTCAATAAATCCTTACTGCATTTGTTTCATGTATATTTCACCAGTTAACCCCAAAATCTAAAACATTAGCATTGCCTTCTTGTCATGCAGACGCGATGGCTTTGCTTTATTCCGGCACACTTGCTAATGACATCATCAGTGTTTTACAACGTGACATCGCAAATTTAGGACCATGGAGTTCCAAGTGGAAAAACTCACTCTGTGTGACATGTATCACGGAATGTGCTGGAGATGCCAAATTGGTAGTGCATCTCTAACAACTATCGGCAAAAACTACCGCAATTTAATATCCTTCTTGGGTTGCAACCTTAGTAAATAAACTCCCTAACATTTGCGGCGCAAGAACAAAATGTATCAGCCAATTTCGAATGAAGATGGGTTATCCATTTAACAGCTTTGGTTTGTAGTACTAAAAATGTCAGGCACAAAGTCGTGCATTTCTCGTGTTGAAGTACCGCTTACTGGTATATTACAATTTCAGCAAAGTATCTAATGTCATTTAAACCAGTGCAGCCGTCAATTACGAAACGGTTCCTAAGTTTATTAACCAAACTTAGTCATGGATCGCTGTCATGCAGTTCAGCACGATCCCAGCTAGCTCTGCTGAGTGAAACCCTTTTCTCCTTGCTATCAGCAGAAAAATTTCACTTCTTTACTTTACGCATGCTCCTGAATAGATTAGCAAAGAACTATACTAGATGTATATGAAATGTGTTACCGATGGCAGGTACCAGATGAACGATGTTTGGAAAGTTTGCTAAAAGGCTAAATCACCTACTAAGGCGATTCACCAAATTTACCTTACCGAAAAATTCCGTACAATTCTTCCCTCTTATTTACCCGTAACAACCGCGATCGAATTATTGAGAACGTCACAGATGAACGAGCCATACCGTGAAGTCAAGCTCTGATGAATAGAAGTGACAGGACTATGTTTAACATGCAGTAAATAGTGCAACTTGGATCTTGTAGTTGGGGCTGTAGCAACCACCTTCAAATTGCAAGATTTAAGTAAGCCTCCTATTCACCTAACTTGATCCAAATATACGCAGCCGCAAAACTACTTCAATGGTGCTTCCTTAATGATTTTGACCTAAACTGAAGGTAACGATAAAGTATTGGTAAATTGACTGGGATTTTCAGGGCAAAAATTCCCATTAAGCTAGCCATGGTCATTGTTAGATAATTTTATTCTTTCCACAGAACAACAACTCAGGAAAGTTTGGCAAGTCTCAGTGTGGTTTGATAAGGAATCCCTTCCTTACTCGATGGGTGATTCTGAAATTGCATTTTACCGACGCATTGCTTGTGAAGAATTGGTGCAGTTATATGCTTTAGGCAATTTTGCTGTTCAATTTAATCGGCTTATTCATTGCAGTGTCTCGCACTGTCGCGATATATAGTATATATAGCACCATTTCAGCACTGTACGAAAAATAATGGTAGCAACAAATTACATGGAAATTAAGGAATATACAGTTACGTAAGAATAGATATACCCCGTAGAAATTCATAGTTTCATCAGAGGATAAGGTACTGTCTCGTTGCCACAGCTTAAGTAGGGAGTTGACCTAATGAAAGCTACCCTAAGTCCTTAACTGAAAGTCAACCCGCAAGCAAGTAGTTAAATGAGGGAATCGCGCCTATTGAGAACAATTGACAGGGTAGTCCGTTCATTGCCTCTTTTTACTTTATTGCCAAAGGGAGGTCCAAACATCCCAATTTATTTAACAAGATTAATGTTAACCTATTATTTATTTCATCCTGTTTTATATTTTACTTTTTGCATTTTGGTCAGGACTGGGCCGATTTTCCGTAGGTATGTGTTAGCGTATCCTAGCTGCTAATTTTACCCCGGGGAAGGCGACTTGCTATCTACCAAATGGCAAGCTATGAAAATGCCGGCTAAAAGAAGCTGTATGATGGCACGGGTTGGATGACTTTAGAGCCATGCTGCATACCTTTAATAACAGCTCTTCTGATAAAATTAACGCCATACAGGCACACGGCCGTTTGGCATGAAAGAGCGAGCAAAACCCTTGAGGGACTACCCGGCATGAAAGCGGGCCTCAGGAGATAGTTCAGAAGATGGCGGTACTGATTCGCAATACATTTAAGTAGTCAAGCACTCCAACAACTTCAATTGCTAGAGACAATGATCAACCAGAATAGTCATCTGTTTCCCCGATACTGTTGTACAAATTGCTCAAATCAGTCACCTGGGCTGCCCCTCGTACTGCCGAGAAACTTGTTAGTTAATTGTCTATTTATGCTCTTAGGCCGTAAGTAGCGGATGCACTGTGGCCACTCATGAGATAACTACGACTTATCATACCCTACCATGCAAGGCACGAACGTTGCATTGGAATGGCCTAGGTCATCGGAGTCATGATTTCCACAAAAGTAGCCTGTGTTTCATCAAATAAGTGAACGTTCATGTTGGTTCTGAAGGAACCCCTAATTTCCTATAGACTGAAGTAATACATCAAGAATCTTTTAGCTGAAGTTGCAAACTTGAAACGTGTAACTTTAATAGCGATCGAGATTGCCACTTACGTCCATAACTTACTGTTTCTATTCCTTTTCCAAGAATAATAAACGTGCACTGTGGGCTCATAGTGATCAACTTTGTTGTAACTGTCCACTACCCGAGTGCTAACCGTAAAATATCTGTAAATGAAGCGCTTGTAGTAACTATGCCTGTTTATACCTGCTGAATTTCATGTCTTCTTACATGCCCGGATCTATTCATACGCTGAATCTGTAAGAAATACTCTTCAGTTTTGTATCTGCTATAAGCTAAACGGCGGAAACCAAAGGATAAGCTCATATCAGACTGTCACAAAGGTATCTGTAAGAAGAATGTCCTGCATCCATAATATTACAGAATCGTTATTTTAGCTGTTGATAAACACCAGTGGTTTTACAAATTGAATTCGCAATTTCGTATTGTCCCTTCCTGTACGCACGCTAAATTTGATTAGAGGGATACAATATTGGCCGTATTGTCGTTTCTACCTCTAGTAGATTAGTTATAGTCTGTCAAACTTCTAGGAGGCTAAGTGCTGGCGGTTATCATTTCATTACCTACAATATCGCTTATGCAGGTCTATACAGCTGGGTACAAAGGAACTTTGTGTAGAGGACGGAATGTTATTCCCGCTAGAAAATAATAAATCACCGTCATCATCAAGAAGGGCCAGTAGATTGCTCGTTATTAAGACCTGAGCAAAACTTCAAGCAACCGATAATGTTCAACCATTATTTATTCAGAAACACCCCGGTTAACCGGTTTAAGCAGCAGTATTACTGTTCAGTAATACGAAGAAGATTTGGCACATTCTGCTTTTACAATGAGTACCCCTAGACATGTTATCAACGTCATTGGCAACAACACGGCAGCGATCCGTATAAACTGTTAGGGACTGATGTTTTGTAAGGAAGACGGTTTACCAATGAATAGTGCATCGCAGTAGTTGATGCAGGTGAAAAGACATATATCTGCGTACACTGAACATTGGTTTGAGCATCGCTTTTCCCTCACTGCTTCGTTGGCTTAGATTTATTGCCAGAATTCGAACCTAACTGTGGACACGAGGTAACTTACCGCACGGATGTTGACTACGCAAATTATGCATGTAAATTGTGCTCCAATTCACTAGTAGAAGTTTCTGGACGTTACCCTGAAGCTCGCACTGGAAACTAACGGAATTCGAAACAAATCGCTACGTAAATGAAGGTAGACTATTTCGGATATCATGTTAGTTTTCCAACCCTGACACTATATCGTACATTGCGCTCGACAATAGCGTACCGTGTAAAAGGTGCTTTGAAGAAAACCAAACGGCAATCAGTAAGCAACGATAGACCAAAGGATTCATCATTGACTGACCTGCTATGACGGTTCCAAGCTCAAAAATAGTCCACTCCAATGCCACCATGATCAATCCTGATAGCGCCAATTTGAGCCATGTGCCCCAATCTAACCATAGCTTTGAAGACACGCCTGAAGAACATCGAATGAATAAACATGGTTAATACTAACTGTACTGTTAGACCGGAGTAGTAACCTAGGAAATTTGTGCTAGAATTAGCCAGGTTCATAGTATTTATGCATTCACTGGATGAAACTAAGCCGTCTTCTTAATCAACCAGTATGACTGAAGTTCTACATATGTTTATGGTTGCGGTTAAATTTGTCTAAACCATGGCTTTTCGAGATCTGCTTCGACAGGACATGAGAAGGACAATAACGTGACATCAACCCAGCTAAATCGACCCTGTGCGCATTCGATATGCTTTTAAAAAATTTTCCACAGAGACGAGGAGAAATATCCTTTGGTCAACATGTGTCTACCGTACTCATTGCGCAAATATTCTCTCATCATATGTTACAACTACAGTCATCTCAACTGCACAAGGTTCAGTACTGCCAGTAAACAGATTATCCCGTCCAACGAGTCCTCTGTTCGCTGAGGAAGCATTAGTTGGGTCCACTAAAACTGAGACCTTTAAATGAGTCTAGTCCTTTGAGGCTACACCAGGAAACGTATGACTGCAGAAGCTGAGTATGATAGAAATGCTATTGTGGACAGGCTTTGCGTAATTAGAACAAAACTATAGTACAGAAGGGCAGAGCAGAAAGATACTGGGAAATCAAATATCTGTAACAGAGATGTCTGACAAATTTGGGCAATACACGGACATCAAAACCCCAGCTACCTAGCAGGCGATTTAATTGCTTCCGGTAGCTTTGGAACAACTTGCTTCATTGTTAGTGGGATATGTTGCTTTATGGCGTTTGGTCAGCAGCGTATCCGTTCCTCTGCTTTTTTTCGGAATTTATGCATACACCATGTAATTCAATGAACTTTAACCGAAAGTCCCGCACAGCGTCTAGAATATAAGTGGCAAATTTACTGTGTATCCAACTAGCTTAGACAAGCAAGAAGAATAACGGATGCGTTAACTGACGTAAATGGTCATCTTCTGGGGCGGTGGTGGCGTTCCAAAGTAACAGTAGAAGATAAGTTAGTTATTTGCTCACGACTATAGTCCGTCTGCTGCGTACATAAAATGTCCTGCTAAATAAACTAGGTTATCATCTTTGCGTTATTTACACCATAGCTTCGCTCAAAGGAAAAAGCTGTTTTACAATATTTTTATGCTATCATTCTAAGTAATAATACAGGTTTATAATACTTGCGGCTGTTACAAGAATGTGGTTAAAGGGATAATGTCCCTATGAATGGGTAATAGAGGGATTTCTTGTGTCCTTACTTAGTTTCTTCGTAACCACACTTGGTGATACAACCAGCACTCATCCAGGAAAGTGCTAGGCGGACGTCTCTTTCTATTGTGACTCGTCAGTAACTCGCGTCCGCCGAATCCTGACGTTTTCATACCTATTACCTTACCCTTACGAGCCAGCGACTTAAACCACTGATCCAAGTGTGGCTAAGGTGGATCACCGTGACTGAAATCTAACTACGACATAGCGAAGATCATCCTGCAATACCATGCAGGTTATGAACAGGCAGAGGACAGGGTTGGCCTCCAGGTATAAGACTTAATAACACGCATGACAGCTAAGGATGACCTGCGCTTGGTTGCAGTTGCATGTCAGTTACTGCGGCCCGCCGCTGTCATCCATGGTTCAGTGACATATGTCGATAGCCCGTAAGAGTAAGGATGGAATCCATATTACACTAGCTGGATAGACAATATCTACCGTCCAACTGCTTTGTCAGTAGTAGTTTTAAACTGATGGTTGGATGCCTCCTCAGATTTGGCTTTCAAGCTCATGTTACTTACTCAGTGATTAGTTCGCCAGTGGACTGTAGCCTAATACTTAGCCTGCCTACTACACACCACGCTTCATGTTCCCGAATTCTCCCAGGTAGTTCACGATTATTCTAGAGGCTAACTAATCTCTATCCCACAAACACTTGCACTGTGCCATAAATGTACAAAGTTCTAGAGGGATACATGGATGCGGAAGCGCTTGGTGAAATGTATTAAACTTTGAGGTAAGTATAGGTTAATGTTATTCAAACTGAATTTCTACCGTTTGCTCAGCATCTCTAACCTGTCCATATACTGCTATTCCGTTCTTTGAACATGATGTACGCGACCAAACAGGCGCATTGGAATGCGTACGCGATCACTTGAGAGAAAGCTGATCCACTGGAAGTAAAAAGGCAAAGAAATCATTATTAACACTTGATTAATTATTAAGGCATTGAAACACATGGAGCGCGCAGAATATAAGCGTACACCAAATGCAGGCATGCGCCCGATTCTACACTTGAGTTTGCAGCATTTTACAGCTGTATTCTTTTGGGTCCGATCTAGTCAAGCCAGCCAATTGTACTTCACTTAGTATGCATTCCTCAAGGTCTCAAAATTTTGACAACATTTTTTTGTCACCATTATTGGTCTATTACGTACCTACACCATTTTCTTGTGTAAATTTAGCTGTTAATATAACTTTTCGCCATGTAGTTATCTCAAGGCGGGATATCGGAAACAAGCTGTTGACATTAAAATGAACTAACACGCATGAACCACTTTTGATTAAGCCACAAGCTCAGCCAGTATTTAGAGCATGTGCTTAGCAAATCTCAGTTCACTGGGATTAATGAAGATGTTGGTATTCATATCCGCATATGATAAGTGGTTCAACTTTCACTTACCAGGACCACTTCTGTGTGTAAACAGATGTTGCGTGGGCCTCAGTAACAAGACATATGTGTGACTTCCATGCCCACCCACAACACACCGACCTGTGCGTATGTAGTCGGACCAAAGCCTCTGGTATACACGCAAACAAAGTAAATCGATAGGTCATCTTTTCCTGTAGGCTAAAATCCACCACAGCTGGCTACCATTTTCTCACACCGTGCCGGTAAGGAATTTTATGAACCACTTACCCATCCGCCGATGTCTATTTGGATCTATGGCGAACAAAAACTTCTTGCGATTTCCCTATGTGATTGCCAAGCTCCATTGGGTAGTAAGGTGGCTCACTATTGTAGTGATTTGCGTAATCTACCTTAGACAGCTTGGAAGACTTCTGGGTAACAGGTCGACTGGTACAGGATTTTATTTTGGAATCCACTATATTTGCGCAACCGACTTTGGGTGCTGAATTCAGCACTTTTTCAATTGTTATCTATGACACGTCCGTTCGCCATTTCTTCATCTTGCATGTACGTACCATATGGTTCTCGGAATGGATGCAACCTGTACACCATATCCTGTTTGCAATTGTATCGTTTCTTTATACAAGCTCTCACTCTCACAAATTCCACGGTATCAAAAGAATGGCAGCTAATCAATTACCATTGCTGATGAGGTAGATCAAACAAATAGACCTGCTAATTAGCACCGCCCCAAGGCTTATACTTTTGTTAACGTTGCCCTGTACGTACTGGGGTAGGGATTGCTGCGCAGGCGCCAGTGTTCAGGCCTTTGTTTCCGCTGGATCTTAATAATGATGACTGCCTTGTGTTTTATTTTACCTTGAACTGATTTCTCAGAAGTGGCTGAATTCGACGCTATTGTCAAAATGGATGTTGCCACCTGGATTACTGGTCCCTGAGACGGGGGGTATGCGCGTCTATGGAACGCAGGTAGCGTAGTCATAAGGGTAGAGCCAGATAAAAGTGCAATTACCTCAGACAGTAACAGCCAAGTTGATGTTCAGAGTGAGTCCATCGATTATATTCACTATCATTTTACTTAAGCGACCTTTGTGCTATACTGCTGTCTGGTTCCATAAACATCATATTTCATTTCGCACAATTCTCAACTATATCACAGTAGTTAGATTGAACTTGGAGCACGTTGGTGTTGCAATGCATGTCGTCCACCGGTCTCGCGCTGGTGCGGAAGCTGAACCATCAGCATTCAAGAACACGAGCTATGAGCCTATTTCTAATGATTGGCTTAACCTCGACCACTAAAATGGTTTTGTACAAACATACTGGGAATCCCGGACCACTTCACAGAACTCAACCAAAGCGACTCATATATATACCGCTTGATAGTACCGATATACCAAATTAGGCGTGCAATCTGAGGTACCTAGAGTTAGCCTCAATGACAGTTCCGTGAAAGTTAAGCTGCAGCAATTTACATTTTGCAAAGGTGAAAGGGGAACGCAGCTTACCGAACACCGACGTTTATCACGTAAAGCAGCAGATAATGGAGCAGGGCATTCAAACAATTTCCAATGATGCCTATCCATAAAGGCGGATACACCGTGTTCTATAAGGAATAAATAAATGACCAATGCTCACGAATGGGATTAGCCAGACATTGTGACTGAATACATTTCATCTGGCCAAACTCCTAGTTCGCTAAAATAGGCACGCGGACGACAAACTTGTCCTACTCAGCAAATGCTAATACATTCACTAACTATAGTTACGTGACTGGAGTGAGTTATGAAGGAAGAGTAATTCAAATAGTTAGGTCAACTGATACATTAGTTTACTAGTTTCGCAGAACACCGAGTCTCACCTGTGCTTGTAGATACTTCGTCAAACATTGTCCAATTGCGGCAAACTGAAAGCATTGAGACAATCAAATCGTCATGAGTAACGCAAATTTACCCATAGTCCAGGGGTAGCGCATAGAAGATAATCGGCTGCCTCTCTAGAAGAACAAAGTAGAAATTCAGTGTTTAACTGAAAGCTTTGTTTATATTCATATCATTAAATATTTGCCAATCCAACTGAGCGCACTAGACAAGTTTTGCAATATGTAAAAACGAACGAATTCCATTTCAAGTCTCCCATATTAGGCAACAGGTCGATAGTAGCTTGAATTTCATTAGTTGTATGTAATCTAGCAGTAATCATTGTTTTAGGTAAGAGAATAGGGAATTAAATTTATGCGTCAGTTTGTTACTGAACAAATAGCTTGACTATCTAAGTCGTCATTGAATACTACTCAGCTTACTTCCTATAATCACGAATTTCATTTACTGTCTAGTAAAGTTTGCTTTTTCACTGCTACGCTTCACCAATCTCTGGACACTTGGCCTCTCAAAGTTGAAATTAAAGAAAGAATCAAGAAAGATAGCAGTCTATATTCCTGCACTTACAATTGTTTAAATTTCCTTTTGTCGCGCTTCGTTATATGTCGACTATGGAGTCTGGCACCTACATTTGGAGAATGCGCATTGCTGTTTTCCTATATTCCAAATAGAAAACGTACTATTAATTCCAAGCTCAAATAAGTAGTCAAATTTTGGCTACCAAGATCTGATTATGGGGAAGAATGTACCCAGTGATAAGTATACCGCGAGAGTACGCTTCAGAATGGATCAACCCAACACCAAATGTCGGCACCTTTCACCTCCTAAATTCACTAATTCACATCGGTTAAATTTCTCAACTTTGTAGAAACCAAGTCATCACTCTAGGCAGGACTTCGTTCATCAAACGCAAACTGAGTAAACTTATACGGAAAGCAGAAATTTGAGATTATTTCGATATCATGTCACATAACATTGCGGATTACACTAAAGGCAGCTCCAGCGTATCATGCAGCAAATTAAAGTTCACTTATCGAATGCTCCTGTTTGTCCAAGTTCCGTATTTTATTGATAATTGGAAACCCATACAGACAGAGTCCGGGTGTATCCACTAACGAAAGATAATATTTTCAAATGTGCAGTTTCTACAAATTATGATATTTTTCGCTTTTCCACTATCGAGTAGTAAACGGTAACTACGTGTTAGTCATCAGCCTTAATGTCTGACAACGCAATACCAGTGGTTAACTGCTGTAGTCACCAAGCGTTCGTCCTTCTAACGAATCAGTGTGAGTGAAAGAGTTCATAATCCAAAAGTGTATTTTAGTCACTGGGCAGTCACGTGATAAGCTTTTTGAGAGAACCAATCAAGATGACATTACACACATATACTCGGCCCTTAGGTTTATTTGAATGGGCGCAGTTACACATAAGCATTCAAAAATCACAGTCCATATTTGGGCAGATAACAACTACCACTGCTGTTTCGCGATTCAGTTTAAAAAGCTGCAATGGATTAGCCACCTTGAGTAGGCAACTTCTTGTGTTTTAGGCGGGCCTTTAAATTGCCCGTTACCGCCCTCCTCCAAAATATCGTCTGTTGCTCTATCTACTGCAAACATATCAATTTTTGTGAAAATATGTAGACGGATTCTCTGGCCGAACAATTTCTAGGTAACTGAGGCCGCTTATCTCCACCGATACTTTAAAAAAGTATCCGAGACACTGTCCATAACACGCTGTTTGCTGCCTTTACCCAAATGAAACGAGCCACCGATAAACGTTTTACTAAAAATTGGCCTTGTCAACTGGATGACGAATCTTATAATTCGTTCTATCAATATGCGGTCGTTGCTCAAATGTGCGGGACTGATAATTTAAGAGACGTCTGTGCACTATTTAGCCATTCTGTCTTTAAACTTGCAAAATTCTTTTATTTACTGATGTTATTTTATCTGATTTTTGGTAAACAGTGTAAAATGCTGAACATGAATCCATCTGAGTGCATAAAGTTTGACTTGACTAATAAGAAATTTACTAAATGCACACCTGTTTACCTTACCCACGTTCCCAGATGCGATTTCGTCTTCACTTCTTTCTACAAGCTTTTGAACTGCTGAAGCCGTGCTCTTTGTTTTAACTCATGTACCTTCCTACCACCATGTAATAAATAGTATGAGTGACTATTCGAATTATCACCACAGCGTAAACAAATGTAAGTGAAAAGTAAAAGGAGTATCTCAAATTGTATGGTACAGAGCATACTTTTCCACAAATAAAACTCATTTCCATGGAGCCCGTAGTGATCCCTTGTGTTATATTATACGTGATCCACGCCTGTTCATTAATTCGAACTCGCTAGTTCAATCCTTTACCCAGAAAAATTAGGGTGTGAGCGGTTGTTTAGATAACACATCACTTATAAATTTTAGCAAGGATACACGGGTATCGCGATTATGTGTTTCAGCAATGTCTCCTTTCCTCGTCCAAGAATATCAATCCTATTCTGTGGTGATAATCAGCTCCAAATCACCGTTCCGTCCTTCGCTCAATAACTTGATTACCATCCCGTCTAGCTCGGACCAGTTTATGACCTGAATGTACAATTTAATTCACCACACAATCACTCAGACTTGCGTCTACCCCTTTGATATGTGCCGATTAAGACTATATGACTATCCCATAGTCTGCACTTGCGCCTCTGTGATCCATTTGTTGAATACAACGAAAAGACTGACATCGCTCCACTTTACCGCCTTTCATGCCTTCGTTCTACTCATTCAACTAACCAACCACATCATTTCGTTTGTCTTATAAGTACGTTGTTAACTGTGCTTTCGTCACTATATACCTGGTCTCTCTGAAGCTCTGCTTCTTGGCTTGTAAACCGAATTACAAGATGCCGTACTGATCTAAATTTTAAGTGTTATGACTGAGGTGTGGGCTTTCAATGCTTACTTATTTAGTCCTAACTGATACCGTTTTCTGTTCCTGCCTTATTGTTGTATTGACTGCAATAAAATAGAATAAGCGGAGCTTTCCAAAACAATTTTGTCGCTTACCCCCTTCCTATTGCTATTGGTTTGATCACCTTTCGCAAGGACTGTTGGTTGTTCAGCAAGCTTTGCTTCCATTACAAACTGGTGCGTCCGTTTACCGTGCAGAAATCGGTAAGGTCATCCGCTTAAACAGTGATCTCAGGTAATAAGGTAAGAAACCCTGCCGTATTGGATTCCAGGTATACCATTTATGTTGTATCTTACAAGTTTTACTGGAAAATACTTACTCTAAACATATACAATCCTGGGTAATATATTAACGGTAGATAGATTTGGAGTCACTTTTTATCGTAATGCCGTATGAAACCATGTATCTTTACACGTGCTAATCAATAAAACTAATTTGATCAGTTACAGTCCCCACTCCTTTTGTGTCTCGTAAGGATGTACTAGATTTACTGCTACGGTGTCAATCAAAGGCTACTTTCACATATTACAGATGACGTCGACAAAGCTCTAAAGCTTTTTGCTGAGTGGAATAAGTCTAGAGGACTTATATCCGCGGTTCTTGAGACGTTAGGTCTATCGAGCAGCGGAAGTATCACGAGCCAACAAATTCGGACAGAGCATCATGACATCAAATCATCCTACATTGTACGACAACATTCAGAATTATCAAAGGTTAAGAACCCTAACGGCACTACTTTTCAGTCGCTGTGGTTCAGCTCTCTATCGAGAATTACACTTAAATTACACCACTCTAACCCACATGTACCGTTTTTTCAACTTTGCTATTCGGATGAATAATTCTAACAAGCAGAAGCTTAGCTTTCGCTAACTTGACGCAGATCATAGAAAATCGCAGGGAAGAAGCGAGCACTTGCTGCGGATTAGTAAAACGCTTTTGAGGCATGAAATCCTCTTTAGAATCCATGTGTTCTCGAGGCCGCTAACGACTTCTTCAATAAGTTAAGCATTAGAGTTTCTCGCTATCAGAATTCACGTTGTCCATCTTGTAAAACTGGTTGCCCAAATTTTCTTCCACGCTACGAGGCTGGGGAGTGGAAAATGGCTGACGAAAACAGGAGTGCAAGTAACTTTTCAAAGAGTCTTCTGACATTTGGTTATTTTTGGTGAACTCCGGGTTTGCTAACATGTTATTAAAAGAGCGGCTTATAACATTTTACTAAGCGCTTCGAACCACGTCCAAATATAGGAGCTCAGCTCACTAACTGTTACTAAGCAGGTAATCAAGGCAATGATCGCATAACAAAAATTAGAACACAAGTCAAAATTTCGAATTGAGACTATTGTGGCGGTTACCAAAATATGGTTCCCTAAACCCATCCTCACTCAACGCTACGTGATAGTTTCATTTATGCCACGAAAGGGTACTAAATTACAAGCTGGGCATGTGAGATTCACACAATTGTTCTTTCAACTAAGATCTTGATACTATAGTCCAGGTAGTCACAGGTTGCTCGTTGCATCCACAAGAGTCACCAAAAATGCTCATAAAATGTTGCGACCATAGCGTATAAATTTTGGTCGATTGGACTTAACCAAATTTTCCGGAATACTTTCTGTATGCGTATGCTCTAGAGTGGAAAACGCAACTCAAGCATGACACCCATGGCAGAATCGTTATTTCATCGTCTTGGCGATTCCGTAACATCGATCTATCAAACACACCAACGGGGAAATTTAGCTACTGTAGGAACAGCTACCTTGTAGTCTGGAATATTTTGGTGAATGCTAATGGTTTTTACTAGGTTTAAGATTAGCTGTTTCCGTCCTTTCTGAAGTATTGATTTTACGCTATCCACTCTAATCAGGTCAACTTATGATTACTTTACAAGTTAGCTAGTCAAACTACTTCGAGGCCAATAGGATCATCTTGCACTAGCGATTATTTGAAAAATGCAACTTGGCACCGTGCACACTTTGCGATTTGTCTAATTTGACAAAATAAAACTATTTGTCAAGCGGACAAGATTTGCGGTAGTTTTCCTGACGATAGCCTGTCATTGCAAGGGCGTTTACTCGATTGGCATCTAAATAAAGTTTCCTTACTTTGTTTTTCCATTTGTGCAATCGCGTTCTCGTAATGCTGTTGTTGTTCATCTGCAGTTGATCGTAGAAAGCGCTGAAAATCGCATGCGCTGTTACATAAAGCATATTTTGATTTGAATGACTTATCATGTTGTACCAGATGTTAACTAACCACTTGTAATCTCATCACTTAAAGCTCAGCCATGCCAGCAGACTAAGCGACCACTGTTTTCAACAGGTGGAATGATACATTTGACGGGAATGTCGAAGAAGTTTCCTCTAGCTGCATATTCGGCACAAGTGGAATCCCCACCCAAGAGCATTTATTTCAACGAAAACATTTTCTGCTTTTGGAGATGCCATGACTTATTCATACAATGTATATGACCCGTACAGGAAACCAAGGAGCTTCATCATATATAAATTTAAATGGATAATCCAGCTTGCTCAACTTGAAGCACACGACGCCACGTGCGATCGAATGAAGCAGACAGGGTCCGGAACAAACACTTCACTCCTAATTGCTGTTTCTGTTGGAGTAGTTAAGTTTCCGCTATTTTATAGTTAATACATCACTCAGAGCTGACTTTTATGTTATCTGAAAGAAAGATGCAAATTTCTTTAACTGATCGAATGACAGTACTCGCTAGTATTTTGGGTGTAATCGAAGAACGTCAACCAGTCTTATCTGACTGAATCAAGCAACCCCACCTATATAAAAGCTACAAGTTGTAAGTGTCGCACGTGTCCTCAAAGCAGCCGTTTCATTTTCATCCAAAACCGACCGCACTAAGCACAACCGTATTCATACGCTATCACCTGAACTAGTAAAACCCGTTCCATAAACTTAGATAAACACTTTACGTGCTAAATACGATGTATAATCTAAGTTCGCATCGCATTTTTTCACGTGTTGGTTAAAAACATTTATTTCCTTGTTGCCCAGAGAATAGCAGACTTTATCCCAATGACAAATACCGCGATGTTTAAAAGCTTCACAGTGTAACATTAGTAATCATTTAAAATTGTAACTAACCCGGTCTCTTTATATACTACAATATGTGTCAGCTGTGATCGTATCACAGGCCTACGGGTCAAGGAGGCCGATACACCGAGAAATAACATTATTGCAAAATCCAACTTTTTAAACTATTTGTATGTGCGATACGATTAACTAATCCTCTTGCAGATACTTCAATGGCTTATACAGTTTGTTGTCAGAGAACCTAGCTTCGTTCACTAAGATAGTACAAAGCATCTATGAGTGTAACCTCAAAAGATACACATGGCGAGAATCTAGTGATGCTTTTCTAAACCCTCGTGTTACGTCATTTGTCGCAAATGCGGCTAACTACATATTTCGTTAACCGTTCACTAACATTCTTGTATAATCTCTTGGTCATCGTGGTTTACACAATCACTGGACATGGTAAATGCAGTCCTGGACTTTAATGTTCTCTCTGTGATTTCCGTCATCCGCTGTTTTTCTGGCATTCTCATGCTACGTTGACCGAATTATCCTTCAACATGGCGTTCGACTACTTTCCCCCACCGATTTGATTCTTAAAAACAATACTCGTGTGATCAACCACTTCTGCCTCCAAGGAAACTGATACCAGTAACGGCGGATTGGCGAAGTTGCAGTTTTCGCTTAATCGCATCAATCGACAATAGCGGAGCCGTCCCGCTGTAACTCATCAAAGTCTGCCAAAATATGTACGCATTGATTTTTGATGCGCCACAACAGTCTTAACTGGTGGAATTCAAGTACACCATATTCAGCTTCAAGGCACGAGCTCTGTACTTCACGCCATCCACCTCTCACACACTATCGGGCCGAAACGTGTTAGCAGCTTCAACTAGCAAAACGAACAAAAACCTTAGATCGTTTTAAACTGCTAATGTTCTGACCACAGCATTAGCAACCTTGACGACACCCTTTGTCAGACATTCTAAACGTAAGTGGGATTTGAAAGGTTTCGAGGTTGTGCTCTCCATTAAACGCACCCCACGACCGACCGATTCGTCCTCATTTGGTCTCGTCAGGAAGAGATACTGTGATCTGGGAATAGAACTCAAAGTTCTCCGAAAGAGTTTGCACTCATGAGTGACCTTCTAAGTTCTAAACATACGTACAGCAGGACATCAACATATAAGCAACATCACATAGAAACTCACTTTGCTATTTGTGGGTTTTGCTGCATCAGCAGAAGCACAGGTTCCGCAAGCAAATGCAGTGCAACGCATGGGATACAGCAGAAGGTGATGATAACGATGGCTGAAAAAGAAAAGTGAACTTTGATTACCAGGTCCCAGGAGTAGTTTGAGTGCTGATAAAGCAGTGCGGGGCATAAAGTTGCCAATGATCCATCTGACAGAACAGACTTACACCTACTTGGATGTTATAGATGTCAGTATTACTGATTCGTGTGTTTTGAATCAACGGCTACATTGCTCCTCAAAGATTTCAGTACATTAAAAAATTTGTTGATGAGGAAAGATCTCAGAGTTAGATGGAGGACGAAGGTTTGACTGGCACAGAAGGTTGATTTAAAAATGACGGTCATTTAAAAGATAACAGCTATGTATGCGTTTTCTTACCTCTCTGCAGCTGAATGCCCATCATATGTGTTCTATTACTTCCGTACGTCTGGAAAGAGAAGTTGCACATTACCAAGGCGATAGTGGTATTGCTTGACAAGAGGATACCGGTTTTTTTCATGATTTTTCATGTTACCGTAACTGTTACTCGTCTGTTTTGTCCTACCTGCGTGACAAATGATTTGGAATTTACGGCATCCGTTCAAGCTTCCCATAAGTTATTTGTATGACTTGTTAATAAACACGCAAGTGTACAAACCAGGGATCCATGTTCTAAATAAACAGTAACTAATTAAATGTAAGTTCGAAAATACACCAGCATAACCTTATTCACACAATTTGCTTTGGCTGCTAGCGATGAAAGTAGCTAAAACGATTTTCGTGATTTGGCAGTAGGTGTCACTTGGCTGGCATGTTCACTGTGCCGGAAAACTTATCTGAAGATGGTTAGTAGATAGACGAGTAACTTTCGGTTTACTGGTCCAATTACGTTTCAGAGAAGCACTTACTAGTGTTTCTCACTATCGACTATTATATGCTTTTCTACTGCAGCACAAATTGAGTCTGTTGATTTTATGGCAGTGCGACAGCATCAATCTCCCTATTATTAGCAGAAAACAACCAAGAACCGCCACGATGACGATGGGGTTATCGATTTTTGGTTACCTGACAACTGCCAGATATAATTGTAAAAAAGTGTATGGCTTCTTAGCGAAATGGGTCAAGTTTTGCTAAATTAGCCAGTAGTTTTAAGAATACTGATTGAGAAATTTTGTTATTATGGATAAAATAATTTTTAAACACAGAAGTAATCAGCCGCATCTGTCCGAATGCACCAACTAGCCTCCCGCCAACTCAAAACTAGAACAAATTTGGTAAGTCTACATCATTTGTACATGATTATTTCGCTTTCTAAATGCACATATCGGAAACCTACCCTTCATAGTCAAGCGGTGTGTTTTATGACGCAAAAATAAATGTGGATTGATAAATAACAGAAATTGTAAACATTTTATTATGCTTCAACTGGAATCGGCAAACAACGACACGTTATGAAAGCTTACCTGGGAAAACAAAGTGTCGGCGGCCGTCAACAAACCGGTTATTACAGCCAGACCAGTTACATTGAACATTGAAGTCGCCAACCCTACGGTGGCGAGTGTGTGTTTGCCCAGCAGTCCACATGATATAACACTTATGGGTCCGGAAAGGAAGGCGACAAGTGTCGTCAGTGCCTGAAAAATATGTTGGAGATCTGTCCATGATCAAGATTTAATTGTTGGGATCTGTGTTTCTGAGTACCATTAGATGAGCTAATCCGCTAACAGAAAGACCATAGCACAATTAACTAGATGTTTAAAAATGAGGCGAAGCTGTTGTAAACAAGCTGGTTGCAAGATTTCATCACATCAATCAGTCATAGCTACGGAGTTATCTATCAGGCTGAAAGATCTGTTGGCATGCTGCTCCTGTCTCCACAGCAGCTTAAAATTGATAGCTGAGTGTTTCGAACACACCACTTTGCCTTAGGAGAAGAATGGAAGAAATACTAAGTCACCCAGCTACGAACATTGGGACAAAATCTATTAGGCAAATGTTTTCCAATTTGTCTGTCGGGGAGACTAGTTTCCAAAGCTAAAGTGCTTGGTCACAATGTGTCAACAAAGGCTCTTTACTGTACTGATCTTGGTTAATTTCATTCTGCGTTTCATCTTTAGGTTTCCAGAATTTGAGCGATTTGTACACAGTAGACAAATCCCAAAACGACGAGTTGGTCTTCGTGCGCAATTCCATGTAGGCAACAGCCGCCTGGCTATATAAGATTGCAACGGATTCCATTAAAACCCTCCGAAATCCGCTTACTACTTGCTAATGATCAGAAATCTCGCTCGAACTAAGAACACCATGAGTTGGTTGGCAGCAGAATAGTAATTACTCTGTTGGTTATCAGTGTATGCTGGGCGTAATTGACGATGGTAGCACTAAAGTGCACAACGCCACATATTGTGTCAAGCAGATAAGAAAAGTGCTGGTTTCCGGTAAAACAAAAATTGTACGCTTTTTGATCGTTACCAGTGCCGAACAAAAAGCGTAGCTTTTGATTCAGAAAGATTACTTGAATTTGTGCATCGTGGCGGTTGTTGACTGGGGCCGACCTCAATGACGATCGTGTTGTGTTTTTTGGATCTCTCCGCTTCCGCTTTGCCATCCCTCCACTCCCGATCTAATTTCTGACACAACACCTTTTCAACATAATAGTCGGAACGATTTGCATCCGTCTCTGGAGGCTCAACTGCAAGTCTCACTTGCGTTTCGTTATTTATTTTTTCATGTATTGCGACAAAATAGCTTAGAGTTTTTACACTTCTAACCCACGTGGATACTGATGATGATTATTCTCAAATTTCTTTCATACGTCTTTTGTTAAATGTGAATGGGATGAATACCAGCAAGTTCTAGAAACACTTCTACACCACTTTCTAACAGGGAATCTTATCTTCTATCCAAGACCCAATGATCTGCCTGGTAAGCTAAATGAAACATTTTACAGAATAACTTAAGCGTATGTCATTTTAATGAGCGTTTTTGCAGAGGCGTACAGTTTGACTAGGTAATTCAGTGCTCTTGCTCGCCGAGGAAGTCATTACATCAAGAAGATCCTAGATAGAAAATGAAATATTTCTACGTCTATGAGCGTTGACTACATGCTTTTTCCCCATAGTTGTGTGAGGCATCGGATTCATTAAAAGCCCAATATGCTACCTACCTTAAATCACGCTAAACAATGTGCTAATGTATATTTCTTTTTAAGCAACCATAAAAGATGGACTTACTTCAAAATAAAACGCAGCCACATTACAAATTCACACAACTCGCTGTCGTCATTCATAACCAAGTGGTGTTACTAAGTGATTACAAGCTGCAACATCAATTCTGCGATTCCAGCGAGTTCGAAGGATTTGCATTTGATTAGGTGAAAGCATCTGAGGGGATTTGAGTGGACACATGTCAGCTGTATAACAATCTAAAAGCTGAAATTTTACCTGCAACAATTGGTCTACAGACTTCCAGTTTGTATTCGCCTTTTGGCCATCAATTTAGTCCGAATAACCTCGAGCATGAAGCCATTTTATTTGGTATCCATGCTTTCCAGTTAAACTCCCCGCAGTGACTGCATGCACTTATTCAACATAAGGTCATCAAATATCTGCGCCGAAATCCGAAAAAGTTGGCCTCTCCTTTTGAAGTGGAGGTGGAAGCATTGGCCACAAACCAGTTTAACCAAATCAAATGTTAGGGCAAAGTTGTTCCACCTTTAAAAGTACACGCTCTCTTTCCAACTAGGACAGGTCGATATCCCATTCTGGTCTTTTAATCAAAATCTTTACGTCTTCCATGTAGATTTTAGGTGGAACCACCAATGAGTTTGCTAGTGTCCACCTCCGTCAATGCTCAACCATAAATCATCCATAGCAAAAGAAAGTGATCTAACGATCAATACATAGATAAGAAAAGAGGCTGAGGAAATATTAACAAACCAGCTTTTAAATGTTGCGGAAATTGAGCATGAATCAGTTAAACGAGTTAAAAATGCTCTACAGTATGCAAACATTCTATAGACTCTAAACGGGTAACAATAAGTAGGTTCTGATGGCCAGGTTGCTGTGCACTTTCATGAGTAGAAACTACAGCAAACTGCATAATGAACATCACTGATATATGTTTTTTTAATTTCCTCGTTTGCACTTACGATAGGGATGGCCAATCGAATCAAATGTTTGAACTCATAGCAGAATCCGAATGGAAAGAATTTTCCAAGTAGACCGGTCCGAACAACAGCCGGAATTTCGATCATGGTTGTGCCAGTTTCATCAGGGTCTGGAAACCACAGAAAGTGGCACGACGGAAGTAGAAGCAAAGTCCATTAAGGCTCAGTATAATGCGAAATGAATTATGTGTGATGGTATGAATAATTTTATTCATAGCTGTCTAGTTGTTTTTGGAAACTCTGAAAGTACTTTTACTTATCCAAATGCTTTAACTGACATGCACAGTGACAATGATTCTGCTGCTACCTGCAACAAGCTAAAGGTATGAAGTAGTAAATTGTTTGGTATCCAAATGACCGTTTTGCTTACCTAAAGAACCAAATGGTGTACACAGTGATTCTGGTATGTTGTTTTACTGAACGACTGATGAGATTCATCACTGCAATACGCGTGGTGGAGTAGAGGTGTCTTACATCAAAAGAAGGATTTCTAGCATCTTAACGATCACAAATGTTGCTGACTTCTTAAATCTGCTTACGCAAACCAAGTGAAAATAGAGAGTTATGGTGTGAAAGTGCAAAGAAGGCGGGCAACAACATGCACACCAATATTCTAGACGTATTTTGTGTCGACAAGCAGTAGCTAATCCAGTTATGTAGGGGGCAGGAAAAATTGTGTTAAATGGTGCTTTAGATTTATACAAATAAAACAAAGACAAAAGAACAGTTACAACATTCAAAAGATTAGTAACATGGTTACAGAATTCATACTTTACTACCCTATAGAGCGTTTAAACTTTGATTCTGCTATAGGGTAACGAACATATCATAAAGTTTGATTGAACTTGTGGTTAAAACTATTGACGTTCAAAAACCGCCCCAAAAAATGGAAATGAGGAAAGGATACATGGCCTTATTAGTAGTCGAAAGCGGTATGAATTCAAAACAAGCAAGCGCAAATTAGCCGAATCTCAGCTAATATGTACTACGGAGGTTAATGGAAAGGTATGGAAATATGTCATGCTATGTTTAGCGAAGAGGCTTTCACCCGGTATTTTGCGATCCTTCCAGCATGTTACGACCACCGGCAGCAAGTCTAAACATAGAATGTCTAAAAAATGTGTCTTTTATTCAGCATGACATTTTCGGTAAAAACAGCACTACAATATGCAATGTGATGTCAACAGAGCACCGAATTCATTTGAAGAAAGTGAGTGCACAATTCATTTATTTTTCTAAAAAGCGTTTTCAAAGAAATCACGCGTTCCGCGAGAATTTGTATTCGACAAAGACAAGCGGTGCCCATCGACAAAACGGAACCTGATTTATCAACTGGGGTGATTATTTTGTGCAAACGGTTATATTTATGTTAAAAAGGGCAAAATTTCTAAATATACTTGCCGTCATTCGCAATTAAATAAATCTGTTTTCACCAGTGCGATGTTTCCAAGTTTGGTCATTGACTTGGGTGAATCCGTTTTAAAATTATGCTTTCGCTGAAGCATGGCTTTCAGTAGATAACAATATCAATGACCAATCAAAAATCTAACACAGATTAAACCCAACTAATCAGTAATTAGTTTAAGACGCAATAATACCTAGCAGTCCATTCATTATCGATTCATCCTCGGAAGCATTTGTACAGAAACAGACTACAACCTGGGGTCAGTCGCATGATACATAGAATATAATGACGACTACGGTGTAATCATTTGACTGAGCAAACAGAAGAATGATCACGTTCCAGCGACTATACTTAATACGTGTTTCTTCCAAGGTGATAAAGGGGCTACGTGCTATGCACTGTTACCGCGTTTAACCAACTTTGAAAATCAGAGGCTGTCAGGGCGACGAAGTGCATACAAAATGACAATGGTGCAACTGAGTTGAATCATCGATCTCGTGCAGGTGAGTATCACATACGTCTGAACGTAGTGCACGTGACTGACATGAGTATCGGAGAGCTGGAGTGCACCACGATTTGGACGTCACGCCCAACAATCTTGCTGTGTACAGTTTTATATCAGGAATGATTGTATGCGGCTCTGGAAACACTTTTACCAGTCGTACGTTAAAACATTGAAGCCTGTTCCGTCGGCAACCTTTTTTCCGCAATCAACTCACTGCCTAAAGCGGAAACACCTGACAGTTCAGAAAGACTGGGGAAAAGAGCAGTTGATGTACCTAAAAAATAAATAGTCTCAGGAGTCCAAAACCCTGGAAATCAACGGAAGGGGTCATCGTTCAATTCAGTGCATTAGTTAGGCAACAAACATTTGCTTCCAAACAAGTAAGTACCCAGATCTTGCATTGGCTTCCATTGCACGTCATATCCTGAACTGTTTAGAGCGATTGGCATTCTTCGTCTTTCGGTCCTCAACCAAGCAGTCGTGTGGATCCGACGACGACAAGACGTGAAGTCAACAAGTTCATATTTGATCACCAGGTGGACGGATGACAACCTTTTCACTTCACACCGGGTGATGCACGAACGAACAGGGCGCGATAAGGCAAAGTTCAGCTGATATACCTAGGATGTGACAATGGCTTTTAAACTGGAGCAGCAAAACCAGGTTGTTGAAGGGAATACTCGCATTCCCTAAGATACAACGTCTGCTTTCAGCGTTACAGAGACGTTGTTACCACCACACATGAGGAATTTTTCTCAAGCTCCCATTGTCGATGGACCAGAGCACAGGCACATACAACCCAACCGAACTGACCACGACTGGTTTCCATATAGCAACACCGCCAACACTAGGGTACTGCAAGCACGACTGTTTACTAGGAGGGAGAACGCCCGACGACGCCACAAGTGTTTTAATTCGACACATGAGGACCGGACTTGGATGACGCGGAAATAAATTCAGACTTCTACAGTGGCACCATCCGACAAGCAGCTGTCCAAGTAAACAAAGCTATCCAGCTGATGTATTTTTTCGGTAAACTTACTGCTTTGAAGCAAATGTCTGACAAAGCCAAGAGAGTTTAAATAACAATATGTAATGTTACAACCGACACGGACGGAAGCGGTGTTACAAAAAATGTGAATGTCAAGCTTTCGTCTAGACAAAGAAGTTACCTGGATTTTAAACCTATTTCGAAGTAATAAAAGCAGAAATGTTCAAATTGAATCGTACAACTGCAACACTAGTGAGATTTCCGGTTAACTAGGAAAGTCATGGTGCTTTCAACGACAAACTTCGAAAAAATACACTGTTCCCAAGACACTTGCAATCATGCCACGAAATAATTTCGATTTTTTGGGTGGAATAAAAAACAGAAGGCTAGTAGGTTACCAAGTACAAAACGGAGACTTCAGTAATCAGGAAGAAGAAACAGAGATCGATAGTTACCTAAAAACATAGAATGTAGGCTTACGAGAAAGAAGTTGGTACAAATTGTACCCAGACGTCCATTTCACCTACAATATAAGACATACCAGAAATTCATATTACCGATTATAGCAAACGGTGTCTTCACTCCTACACAAGATCAAGAAACGAATCTGTTTAAACTGCTCCAACCTCCAAATAGAAGAACAAGTAGCTCCCTGGTAACTATAGGGATGATGAGGGTTTGATCATCGACCCAAACGTACCAAATTTGGGCTGGTGAAGATAACCCCAACTATCTTAAGAAACGTTTGCAAGTTATTAGATTACTCGGGTAGGCTGAAAAAACCAAATGAAGTGAAATGAAATTTATCCAGCTTAAAAGTCCTAGTATAAGATTCTGTTGTACTAGACCAACTACAGTGAAGAAGCATCATGAATGCAACCTCAGCCTCAGCATGGGGCATACATACATGGTTGGCGGCGTCCGGTTTCGGCTTTGCCTGTCACTGTGGCCAGCCAGAGGACGCCTGCGCATACAGAGGGACGATGGGCGGCTTGCACTGTCAATCGACACAAGTAGTATGTAATTCGCAAGCCGCATGTAGGGATCTCGGGCTGGGTGACCAATGCAGACGCCTTCCTCAATTAATGAGCGCCTGCTTGCCGATTATTTTCCATGTGATCTCATATCGACGTTGCCATGACGTCACTTCACTTCTCACTATGGAGACCGTTCGCACACACTGTGCAACTCGTCCAGACCACCCCGCCCACACACTCCTCGGACTTTAATCATCCTCCCGCTTCAGGGGTACGCAACTTCAAGGTTCGCCCACCCCCACTGTTTGATGGAGCCAAGCCACCAAAAGGGCCTTGCCAATCGCGTTCCGCTTATTATTATGATCATCAGAAGCAATCTCTTACATTGTAATTGCATAACTGAAACTAAGCGAAAGAAAAGTATGGCCCGTTAAACGTTACACTAATAATTGTCACCCTTAGTCCATCAGCATATTGCCAATAGCGGAATAGTTGCTTATCCAACCAGTGCAACCCACAAACTACACACAGCTCGCTAGAGAAATATATCTCTGCAAGCCTGCTCAACTTCTAAATAAGCTTGATATACAGATAGGTTATAAGCCACAGCCAGCAAACCGGTTTCACGGTGGATCATAATTCCTCCAGCTTTTAGCCTTTCCAACGATTTTGGTGTCCTTTTACGCTTTACTATCCACATCCTCAACTTACAATAATTCCGAAAATCATATGGCTCCTTCTCCAACACCCACACTTACCTTTACAAATTCAAAATTTTACCTCGCTGGGACCTTCCACATGGATTTCTGTAGGCATGCCAAAGGAGGGCAAGATCCCGCAATTTATAAATTAACGGACATTGTAAAATAAAATACTCTTCATCCTTCTCTTCCTGATTTAGTACTAATAATAAAAAGATGGCGTTTAGCAGATTTGCAGGAAAAATCTTGGAAATCCAGGAAAATATTATCTTTCCTAATGACCGTCTGTCTGGTAAAGACGGCTTTTGTTTAATCTAATTTAATTACAAATACTTGGTTCTTCTTTTAGATGAATCAGTCTTTCGGAAAATCGCTGATCCGGTGTAGGTAACCATCACTATTTATACAACAAGCCTCATTTCAGGTCACCGTAACCAATGACTTGCTGGACACGTATTCTTTTGTTGCTCACCTCTAATTTAGTAACAAAATATCTCTTCGGATATTAATATGCCCGTAATCTCTTGTTTCCGTAACGATGAACCACGAAGCGTAACACTTGTTCGACTAGGATGGATAGAACACGCCAATGAACCCACCCATTCTGTCAACACAACAGATATTTTATTTACTATAGGATCTTCAAATGTGTCTAGAAGCATCAATGACAGACTAGAGTAGAGCGACCACAATATGGTTGCTTTTTCTCTAAGTTCGTTCCAGACTGACAGATTCAGTGAGCAAATGCTGCCAATTATTTTCTATGGATTACCCAATCTTCTCGGATCTTGAAATGCCTACAAACTGTGATGCATCTTTCCTAAAACAAAATATACGATTTGCGTGTGACGAATACCACAGCCGTATTAAACTGTATAAAATTCGTACTCCAGAACGCACTAAGCGAATGAAAATGCCAACTTCGTCTGCAGATATCCGAAGATATATAACCACCACACTACCTAAAATAGAGCGAAACATCGGGAAAACAAACAATTTTATTCTACGATTGCTCCGCACTAGAATGTTTATGGCATTATGCCCTGATCACCACAAAACTTTGTGATCCGAGGAAGTAATAATACTGGAGAGCGCAAAAGTGGTAGGCCGCACCTCAAAATTTTTGGATCGTAGGCAGAACAGAAAGTCGTTATGTTGACTTGAATAATAACTGAGGTAACCGTCATAACTAATCGCACGATATCATGTTCGATTTTTATTGACTTTTCATATCAACCGAAAGTACTAGTGAGAAAGTAAAGCTTGTACTCAATCTGAGTAACAAAGGCAGCAATATACTCCAAGATGTCAAAATCAGACTTGATGGCATATGTGGCCAAATCAGTTTAACTCGGTAGTCATACTGGCAAAATTCCCCCAATTTTAGTCAAACACGGATATTCAGTTGCCTCTGTCTCTGTTTAAGGAATTTATACTTTCCATGATCAAAGACGAATATTCTTTGCGCTAGGAACAATAGACTATTAATCACCTCAACAAAGCGGTTTTATGCAAGTTAAATATTACTGCCTAATCCATCACACATTCATTATATCCAGCTTTATGAAACAGCTAATTAAGGAACGCATATTAGTATAATTAAATTATATGAGCTTTATTCTTAAACATCAGCAAGGTCTTTTGAAAGGTAGTTTATTCACCGCCTCTAAACCAGATAATAAAAATATATTTACCCAAATCCGAGAAAATTTGTCTGTAGCGGTATTGAGCAATTTGTACAGAATTAAGAGCTATTTCATGGACGATATGTATATGTGGAATATTGAGGTATGCGATTCATGTACTAGCTTTTGATGGCTGGTTGAAGCAAAAAAGTTTAAAACTTGAGGGTTTACATGACGGGCATTTCCCATGTGAACATAGTCTTTC